CAAATGTCCCTCTAGTTGCGAACTAAACTAAAATTAATTTATAATATTACTGATAATTTCGACAAATTACGGTCGCAATTACAATGAAACAAGCCAACCAATAACTGCGCTGCATCCCAGTGGGGCTGTTGCCATGACTGCACTTCGAATACCCTCGAGTGGAATGGGTGAGGGTATATCTGCATGCGTGCAAAGCTCCTCTTCATCAGAGAAAAGACTGTAGCTAATAGCTATGGTTATTCCCCTTTTTTCTGCATCACAGTCACTCGCTTCTGCAGGGTATCCGCGTGCTGCGCTCGCTTGCTTGCACTCGCCTGTTTTTATAGTGTTTGCCATGGCAATTGTTGCCAAAATTTATTTGTTCTGGCGACCTAGGGAAAACAATTACTCTGGAATGGAGTGCAAATATGCCAGCTGAAATATTTGTTTAAATTTTCGAGTACTGTTGTTCGTTAGTTTCCAATTCACAACTGCAGGCGCACAGCAACACTGCAACACTGCACCACTGCACCACTGCGCCACTGCCCCACTGCCATCTCTGCCGGCATCCCATCTCTGCCCTTAACGTTCTGTTCCATTCATTCCTCTCTGCTGCATGCATCGCCTCTTGCCGCTCACATTGAAGCACCCCAAAAGCTGCGTCGCATACAATGGGCCAATAAGTGACCCCCCCCCCCCCCCCCCCACACACAACCATACACATACACATACGCACACACATATAAATATGCACACAGAAGTCGTTGTAAATGCCGCAGCATTGTTGAATTTTGGTTGGCTGCAAAGTGATTTACGCAATTAAAATAATTTCATTCAAATGGTCTATATAATTCAACTGCCATTTCATGCGGCTCTGCCTGCGGCTACTTTTTCCCGTTTGTCCAGCTGACCACGCCCACCAACAACAACATCAACGGTCCTTGACAAAGTGCGACACACGCACACCCACACACACTTATAACCATAAATCTGTTGTAAAAATGCATTCAAAACTATTAGAAATTCGTATATTATCGCATCACGCATATTTACCAACAGCTGCGCTACGCAAAGCATTTTGGCTGTTCTGCTCAGTTCGGATGAGGATCGACTGGGAGACTGCATGTACAGATTAAGAATACCATACAATATATTAAATAAAAAACACATCAAATACAATAATAAATTATGAATAAAATTTTACATAAAATAGGAGATCTGCTATCCATTTTATGAAATCATGTTGCTCTGAGAAAGTGCCTTCGTTTTTTTTCATTTCTGTTGAGCGCCCCCAGTTAAGCTGTTCGTTTGGGACTCTTTTGACGATCATCGTTTAGGGAGCGATACGATCGACGTTCGTTTGCACAGAGAGACTCAGTATGTGAACAAATAGCTCACCAACTCACATATACATGCATACGGCCAATTCACTTACGACACGAATGGACTTAGCGAACTCATCCCTCTCGTACATACCAATACATACACAAAGACTTTTTGCTTAATAAAACTGAGCTCGTTGAAGAGGCAACGCAATTCGTTGGTTGCTCTCTGACTTTTTTAAAGCCAGACAACGAGAAACTATTAACAGTCATTGGCGAGCTGTGTTATCAAAAGGAACATATCTGTAATACCGAAACTTTGCTGCCTAATTTGGAGCAAATATAAATTCAGCTACCTTCTAATTAAAAAACTTAATGCGGTGTGTATAAAGATTTAAATTTACATCAACATTTAGCAACATTGGAATTCCAACAATGCGTATTTACCTAGGCTTACCAACACTCTATACATAATCATGTCAGTCTACTCTCGTACTCTCCTAGCAAAATAGTTGCTCATTGTTTCTTATGGATATTGCTAGTCTGCCACTCGCTCATCATTAAGTTCATAGAAAGTTTCTTATATCAAACAAGTTCTAAGTAAGAGAGCACAAACTTGGATTTTTTGCTTGCTTCATTAAACGAATCCAACTTTTTTGGGCTTGCCGTGCCTCTACACCTAAGCCATTGTTCAGAGAACTCTTCGAATACTTTTTCATCGAATACTTTTTCCACTACTTACCTTAATTGTTCAAAACACTTTTGTTTCTCATCTCATTGAGCTCATTCGTGTTGTCCCACTAACCTAACCCATTCGGCTTATCTCTCTTGTCATTTATTTAAATGCCACATTTCACTCGCTTTTGCTGCTAATATTAGAGGTCGTAAAAGGCTTTCAACGCTTAGACCAAAAAATTTACTGCAAAATTAGCGCATAAAATCTGCTAAATTGTGGCCAAAATAAATGTCAAATGGAAACTTGTAACGTGTGCGAGGGTCGCGCTTTAAAAGCACAGCTCAAAATGTTTTGTGCGCTGCTGCTCTTGAATCAATATATCGAAAATGCTGCGATTGCTGATGCGGCTAATGTTGCTGCTGCTGTTGCTCTTGCTGCTCCTGCTGCTGCTGCTGCTGTTGCTGTTGCTGCTGCTGCTGCTGCTGCTGCGGGGCAACAAATGTGTCTAATGCTAGGCTATTAAATAAAATCTATCAGGCCAAATTACATGCTGTTGGGCATGTCCATTCAGGAAGCGTAAGGACAAGGACGACAGTAACCACGTGGCTTGGCCAACCCAACCACAAAAAGCTGAAAAAAAAGAAAATGGGAAAAATCAGAAAATTTGCATAAGCAGCGCGCATCAATTCGAAAGGCCAAGCGAGCGTATAAATATTTTTATGCCAACGCAGTCACAAAAACCAACAGAATCTGGCGTCGTGGCGTGGCTCCGTTCATTGCTGTTTGGCTTGCATGTGGCTGGCCAGCTTGATTATTTTGGCTGCGGACATGCATGAGGATTAGCGTCGCTTTGTGGCGAATTTTAATAGAATTACAGCTGCAATTGCAATTGTGTGTTCGCCAATTGTTGTTGCAATTTAATTTCCATGTTGTTTTTTCCATTTCCATTTCTGTTTGTCGCATGCTGGCACCATCTTTCTCTCTCTGTCTCTCTCTGTAAAGTGTGTGTGTTAATTAATGAGGCTTTTCAGTATGGTATGCGTGTTTTGTTGCAGCCTCTGTCAAAGTTCGCTGTGAATGGAATTACCAGATACTCTTTGCCACATTGGCCCACAATAGCTGCGTAATCAGCTTTAACAGACGCTGTCGTTAAGCAGTGTTAAAGCAGTGCAAACGGATATTGAGCTTATGGCAAGCAGTGCGCAGCGCATTTCCTTTTGTATACTCAGCCAAAGCAGGAATATATATTCCTGCTAAACAGTTAGTTGGTTCACTTAAGCTGGGTGATTTTCAAAATTGAAATTCAATGCGGTCTTGCTCAAATCTTATAAAATAATTTTAACATGTAAATACAGTGAGATTTGATTCAGAAAATTAAGACCTGAAAGAGCATGTAATATTTCGATGTGCCAATATTGATGCCTTAGTTTTCCCAGCCCCCGTTTAAGCCGTTTCGATTTATGCGCTGACCCAGTTTTAAAAAGTGCCCATCTGCCACGTTCGTGCCCCAGTGCCTGGGCAAGGACTCTGCCCATGGCAGCCAGGCTGCCTGACTGCCTGACTGCCTGCCTGCCTGTTGATGTTGCTGTCTATAATCCAGAGATTACATGTGACACACGCATACGTTGCAGCTTATTTTTCATTTCTTTGGCTGTCGTCGAGAACAGGTGGAGGTGCGGGCAGGACAGGCAGGAGTGGCGCAACACAGTTTGCATACACTATAATTGAACAGCTCGTTGCAAAAGAAACGCACGACTTGTTTGCAAAAGCATCCGCTTCATAAGTTATCAAAACACGTAAACTCAGATTTCTCTTCTTTTTTCTTTTCTTTTTTTAAATAAAAAAATGTTTAATTGTTCTTCGTTTTGCACTGTTTAATGTACATAGTTGATGTTGTTGCTGCTGTTGTTGCTATTCTTGTTGCTACAGTGGCACGTGCCACACGCACAGCAGTTTACAATTTCTGTTTTATTTTATCTCCTCTTTTGCAATTCTTTTCTTTTTATTTTGTTCACTCTGCTGACAGCATTTACATATGGCTTTTGTTATTGTTTCTATGAATTCCGTTATTGTTGTAATATGCTCTGCTAAGTCTTCTTATATTATGTCAATGCTTACGCGTGTGCACAGTTGTTTATGCTTATGTTTATGTGTTTGTTGATGCTTATGTTTATGCTTTTGTTATTGATTTCGACTGCCCAGTTATAAATGTTACTATGCTCTATGGCATGCTATTATAATACACACTTTGATCAATTGTTTTTACGTTGGTTTGTTTATTTATCAATTTACTCGTATTCGAATGCAACAGTTAAAAGTATATTATGGTGTATATATACTCGTATATTTATGTATAGTTAGCTTCCATTCACACAATTCAATTGCTTTATTCAGATGCATAATTTTTTGGCTTAAATCTAATAATAATTTAAGTATAGGTAGTTTATATAGCTTATTTTGGGATTACATTCTCACACACGCTCACTCACACACTCGCACACGCGCTCGAAAGTTTCACTAATTAACTTTAATGTACAGGAATTTGTTTTGTCTGATGACCTACAATATAACTGGAATTAATGCCATAATCGTAGCATTTGGGCTAGCGTACAATTATACTATATATATATGTATATATATGTATACTCTATGTGTATATGTATAATTTATTAACATTTTACAGTATGTTTAGACGAGTTTCAATGCTTACAATTGCTGGGAAAAGGAAGAGTTTTTGATTATTTTTATTAATTTGGAAAACTGAAAATTCTTAATCGTATTTCATGCTTGCAATTAGGCAGACATGTTTTGTAATTATTACGTTTATATTATATGCATATGTAGAGTGTACTAACATTAATTTTTACAGCTTATACTGATTGGAATGCAACTAATTGCTTTCATTATTAAGACAATTACTCTGGCGCTTGGCTGCACTGCACAAACAGCAACAATATTGATAACCAATTATAATGAGGCTTTAGATTGAATTTCATTATAATTTCATTGTTGTCCAATATGAATTACAGCGTGCAGCTATTGCCACATTCGCATCCGTATCCGCATCCAGAGGCACAGCTACATCTGTATATCTGCAGCCTGAGCGACATTCAAACAACTTTTAATTACATTACCAATTTTTGATTGCATTGTAGCCAATAATTGAGCCATTTGTAGTGTTTGCACTGAACAAATAGTTCAACATTTTTTCTATGGCCTGTTTTATTTTTTCATTTGTGATTTAGCAATCGGCATTGTCAAATGGAAATGCAAACGTCAAGTGACTTTAAATTAAATTAATTTATTTGAATTTGCATACGCACAGAACATAAAATCAAATTGCCACACAAAAATACAAATATTTTATGTACACATTTATTGAGCAAATATAATTAAAAAATGTAATTCCGTGAGAAATGCAATAATAAGAAATTAAAGCCATAATTTTTTATATTTTTGCGGTAACAGTATTTAATTAATGTGAAAAATAGGCCTCAGTGCAAATATTTAATAACACATTTATGCAGCGCGCATACACTTGAAGAAGCCTCAGAGGGGCAGGGAGGGAGAATGTTTGCCAAATATTTCAGGTTTTTTTTTTGCCACACTCGAATTGCAAAATAATTGTCATTTATTGAATTGAAAAACTGATTTTTCTTTTTTTTTCCACACAAACAAAGAATCACATTTGAGCTGGCATTGCCAATATGAACGCAAATATTTGCATATCATGATATAGCAATTAATTTAAATATTTTATGGCAATTCAATCTGAGTGGTGCAGTTTTTTCTCCATCCGCTCCTGTCATCTTCTTCTGGTATTTGCTGCTGTGGCTGCTGCGTTTTTTATCTAATTATTTAATGCACCTCGCTCTGGCTTCGGGCTCATGTGTTTGTTTAAAGAGCCATTTGCGAAAAATCTCTGTATTTATGTTCGCATTAATTTATATTTGTATTCATATTTATTTGTATTTACTTTAATTTATCTCATACTTTCGTTTTGTTTGTAATGTGATACATTTGATGTTGCAATTACGTTAATAAGTTTGCTATTTGCTATTTGCTATTTACACGCTGCTTAAACTATACAAAATACACATTAAATGTTAGTCCATTCGCCTAGGGTGCCGGGAAAGTTGCGACTTGCTAGTTTAGAACTGGCAAACGGGACTGGGCTTGCTTAACTAAGCCAATATTTAGCTAGCCGTGGCAGTCAGACACACATTCGCGTACACATACAGAGCTAGAGTTACACTTACATACATAGACACACTAACGCATTCGGATGCGTTGTTTAGTTTCCACATTCGATGCCGCTCTGCGATCATCTGTGACAGTAGCGTTTGGTTTCGATGTGGGCGTGGGCGTGGGCGTGGCATGACTGATAATCGTTACTACTATTGCTGCTGCTGTTGCTGTTGCTTCTGCTGTTACTGTGGCTAATAGCAGCTGTTGCCCCATGGCCAGCAGCAGTCCGTGTCGCTGCTGCTCCTGCTGTAGTCGTTGCTCCTGCTGTTCTGCGTCTGTCACTTTCACTGGCCGCGAGCGTGACGCCGTCTCTGTTGCAGGCGGCTGGTGCGGCAAGTGTGGCACAATGCTGCTGCTGCCGCTGACTGTAGCCGAGCACGAGGCCCAGCAGCATGACAATTGTCAGCCAATTGTACTGGCAACCGGATGAGCCAGTTTGCATTGCCTCCGGATGTTCACCTGAAATTATGGCCCGAACTAATTTCAACTTTATTGCATTGTCTTTAGCTTAGATATTAAATTTGTACTTCAACAATAAGCGACTGTATAAGGATGTGTCTATGCGTGTGTGTGTGTGTGTGTGTGTGTGTGTGTGTGCAGCAAGTTTGACTGCAAGTCAAGTAGTTGTTGCTGTTTGTCTCTTTATTTGTTGCGCTCTGTTTAGCTCTAGCACATATATGTGTTTATTTGTTTGTGACTGTCTGTGCGTGTGTGTGTGCAGCACACATAAATATTTAATTAATGTGCAGCGCCTGTTTGCGTTGGCCTGGCCATAGTTGGCCCCAAAAGTGCCGGTATTTGATTTGACGTCAGCTCTGCTCTGCTCTGCTGTAGATATTTAAATGCAAATGACGGCACAGCACAAAATAATTAGCTAAACTGGGAGTTGCGAGCTGAGAGTTGGCAAATTGAATCCAATTAAATGCGCTCAACTTTAAGTTTTTTCCCCAAAACCATGTAATATCTGCCGCGCCCTTAAGTATGCAACATAATATAATTAATTGCCGTTATTAAGTGGAGTGTTAACACAGACACACACACACACATGCACACTCGATGCGTGTGATGCACGCGATATGTGCTGGCATGCTCTTGTAATAAAACAGTTGCTCGCGGCAGCCAACGCCTTGGCTGTGCTCCGCCTCACACGCTACCACACATACACACACACACACACACACACATACACGCACACACACATATGCACGTCGCGTGCCCTTGTAATTGATTGAGTTCAATTTTTCAAGCAATTAACTTGTGCACTTGAAACTCAATACAACGTGCAAACAAACATCGGAAGCGCCCTCAGCTCTCAGCTCACAGCTCACAGCTTGGCTTGGCTCAGTCGTGACGATGACGTAACACGCGTTGTATGCGTAATGCCGCAGCTGCTGCGCGTTACGTGAGTCGATCGTGTTAGCTGCAGACGTTTAGCTTGATTGAATTTAATAAATTTAATAAGCTTTAAGCTGTTGTTTCTTCCCCATCTTCGAGCTGTTTTGACCTCCGTGTTGACAAAATGGCATTCGTCATCTGCTGTGTGTTGCTTAAAGCGTGATTTGCGTCACGGCCGTATTTCTTTGCAGATCTCCACGCCTCGCCACGCCTTCCCCTTCCCCACCAGCTGGCTATGGGCCTCAATTTGAAAGCATGCTTTGTTGTTATTCTTTTCGGAGCTGCGCCGCAGCAGCAGCTGCTTAATAAATATCTGGCCGCAGTGTTGAAAATAAACATATTACGCATACGCAATGTGAGCAGAGCCTGCGGCTAGGAAAGGCGTGAAGATTGGTGGACCGTGGGCTGGTGTGTGGGCAAATGTAACAATGTATTTGTTGACAGGACAGGAATTATTAATAACGTACGTGGCGCACATAATTCATCATCAGAGCAGACACAAGGCCACTGAATCCGGATTGCCCTCAACTGTGCATAGCTAAAATATCTTTGGGCTGCGGCTATGAAAACACAAGTCACAAGCCGGCTAAAGCAAATAAAAGCGCATAAAGTGCTGAGCAGGAGAGATGCTTGAGCGGGAGCGAGATAGACAGACAGACGGAGAGACGGACAGAGAGATAGAGCGACGTAGAGTGTGAGATAAAAAAATAAAGTAAAAGTAAAATATGCAAAATTAGCGCTGATGGATTTTCAGGAAGGAAGCCAGGGCATGTAGAGGCGGCAGGAAGTAGCTAAGCAAGTAGCTCCAGACACAGACATAGACCGAAGCGCAGACAAAAGCACGCACACACCGCAAAGGAGGAAGGCCGCAAGGCGACTAAGGACGCAGGACATGGCTGTTGGAGCAGCAGTAGCAGCAACAACAGCAACAGCAGCAGCAGAAGCAGCAGCATCCAACAGTTGCTGCCTGGCTGCAATGCACGTTAGTTTTTGAGTGTTTTTATGAGGAGCTTTGCATACTTTGGCAGTATTTTTACATTTTATAGCGCGTTTTGTTTGTGCAGTCGCCGGATGAAGACGAGTAATGTTTGACGGCTGAGAGAGCGCTCTTTAAGTGCAGCTCAAGTGTGACACAAAGCGCCGATTTGGCCTGATTTGGCTTAAGTGGGCATTCAATTAGCATATATATACAAAAAAATATATATATATATATATAATCGCACTCATTGTTAAGTCCCACTCTAGCTACGCTCTTCTTTCAATGTGTCGATTTTCAATTCCTTTTCACGCTTATAATTGTAAAAACATTACACAGTTCATTAACGCTCCTCTTTCGTGCTTCATCGCACTCTTATTGTTAAATAATTACCATTATCAAGTGCAAGCAAGTGCGAAATAGCAAAAATGTTGATTGCCATTAAATTGTGATTTGACACAAATTTCCCCAGAGCTTTTCCTTGGCTGGCGGCACCGCCCCTCAACCTCCGCTTCCGCTGCTTGCCGTGTTGTGACTCGTAAATTAAGTCAAATACGAGCAAAATGGTCAGTGAAGCGATGTGATGCCCTTTAACACGATTAACACTGGTCAACACAAGTGCTAAACCAGAAAAACTGAATGGCTAATCATTGAACCAGAAGAGCTGTAGGTCTACAGGGTTCGCTTTATAAATGGAGCTCTACAACATTTTAAATAATTTCAATTTGATTTCATATTTCAATCAATATGTTTTATCTGTCTCCTATACCCAAGGGTCGGAAGTGCTTCCATTTGCGTTTGATTTCCTCATTTCGATCATTGTGATTGCCCGCTGTTTTTTCTCTCAGTGTAAACCCTTTTTGCAGTCAGCTTGTGTTTAGTGTGACGGGGCTCCCTGGGCGCTCTATTGTTTAACTTTGCGTGCTTTTCAATTATGCATTAAACTACCGCTTATATTACAGTTGCCGTAAAAACTATTTGCAGCTGCTGCCGCTGCTGCTGCTGCTGCTGCTGCTGCTACCTACTCGTGCAGCTCCTGCTTGCCGCTGTTTGACACTGTGCACATCCGGCTTGAGCTTGATAAGCATTTTACCACTTTTATCGCTGCACATGCAATACCCAAAGGGGGCGGCGGGCCGAGCTCTCGCTGGGCGGGCCGCGAGCTGCCATCCGCTGAGGTGCATAGAGCTCGAAGCTGGACGCTTTTTATTTTCTACTTTGCTGTGAGTTTATAAATAAAATGTGCATATGCGACACTCGCGCACGCAATGGCAGAGCCGTGGCAGAGCGGCGCGGCGGGGCAGGGCACGGCGGAGCACGGAAAATACCAGCGCGCGAACAAAAACCGGAAACCATGCATCGCAGTCGGCAGCGTCCTTCTCAAGTTGCCCGCTCCTGTCTGCAGTCGCGTTCACATTCACATTCACGTTCACGTCCACGCTCACATCCTTGTCCACGTCCTGTTATTGTTTTTGCCACACACACACACGCACACACACACACATACAATTACGTCGCGGTTGGCAAAGTTGCGGCTGGCATTTCGGGCTTGTTTTTCATTCTGCGCTGACATTTACTTCGCTGTCATTAATTTTAAGCTGCATGCTTCTGGCTCTGCCCAAAACAGCGCGCACTTCGACCGCCTCCCAGCCATTTGGCATGCAACAACTTTTTGCGAATGTGCATTAAAATCTACCTATAAAGACTCTACAAATACCTCATACATCTCGTATAGTTTGACTTTTGCCAATGAGTTGTAAAAACCAAAGATAACTTTAGCTCCTCATGAATTCGAATCTTCAAGCTTTCACAACCTTTGTATCTCACTTCTTTCATATTCTTCTTTTCGTGCTTGCAGCGTCGCCTCCCCCGCCTGAAGCTTAATTGAGGCTTAAACTTTAAATGCTTCTATCTTTGTAACTTTCTTGGTTTAAAAGTCGGCCTAAGCTTAAAACAAAGTTGAGCTTCTTCATGCTTAAAGCTGCTTGGCTTGTCCTTGTCTTGGCTGTCGCTCGCTTTTCATCAAATGCAATTGAAAACTTTTTGATTTTCATTTAATTTTAATTTTTTTTTCCCGTTTATTTCTGTTGGATTTTGTTTTGATTTTATTTTCGGCACACAAACTATTTGCCAAGTTTTGCATTTAATGCGCAAATACGCATTATGCCTCTCTTCTTATCCAACTAGCTATCTAACTGTCTGTCTGTCTGTCTGTTTGTCTGTCTCTCTGCCTGCCTGACTGCCTGCCTGTCTCTCTGTTTGTTTCTCTGTCTCTCTGTCGCACTGTCTGACTGTTTGCTCGTGTTTCTGTGTCCTCGGCTATCGCTGCCTCAGTGCCCTACAGTTCTCTAACAATATTGTCGTTGCTCGTTTGTAGCTAAATTTCGTTTTGTTGCAAAACTTTTAGCCCTGCCTGAAATAATAATTGAATGTCACTTGAACGACAAGTTGGGCCCCAATCCAGGCCCCCCAACCAGGCCCAGCCTCCGTCTGGACCGAGCCCCCTGTGTTTAAGCCCCTGTTCGAAAAGTACCAACAATTTTGTCAAAGTGACAAAATGCCGTTTCGAGCTAAAAAATTGAAACTTGCTTTTGCATGGCTTAGCCAACTTTCTAGCAATGTATGTGTGTGTATGTGAGTGTGTGGCTGCTGCTTCTGCTGCTGTCGCATTTTATCAGCGGTTTTGCTGGCTTTTGCCAAGGCTTACAAGAATCTGTGCCGAAAATTTGAATTGAATTCTGAGCAGCTCAAGAGGAATTTTTAATTGAGAGCCACGACTGTAAGCAAGTCTTAGCACTTCGGTGGGCTATGGGCAGACCGCAAAAATAGTTTCGTTTCTGTTTTTTCTCTCCTCTTTGTGGAACAGCTCAAAACCGGAATGCCGAAGACCAGTTACAGCCACATTTTAAGTCCCCGAAAGTAAGTCAAATAAATCACGAATGAATTAAGTGAGGTTATGTTCGTGTTGCTCTAGCTTGCCTATGTGCTATCTCTGTCCATTGTTGCCTATGTGTGTGTATCTATATAACCCCATTCATCTGTACTCTGTTTGCCTTTAGCGCGCTCCATTCTCGCTCCCAGTTTTTCT